ATACCAACATGGGCAGCCTTTTTTATACTTGGAGAATCAAAGAGAAGTTACTAGCTGAAAGTGAATAAGACTGGATATCTGCCCAGAAATTAGGTACACTTGTAAGAGAAGTAGAACCAGCCTCAAGTTGCACCAGGGAAGATTTAGACTGCGTGGTAGGGAAATTCTTTCACTTCAAAGGTGGTCAAGCGTTGCAGCAGGGAAGAACAGGCTGCCCAGGGAAGTGGTTAAATCACCGTCCCTGTAGGGGTTTAAGAGATGTATTGATGTGGCACCTGGGGACCTGGTTCAGGGATGGATTTGGCAGTGTTAGATTAATGGTTGGACTCGGTGCTTTAATGATCTTTTCCAACCTGAATGATTCCACGATTCCATGAAACCCTTGTCCAGATCTAATGGTGGCTCATGGTCCTAAGAGCAAGCTTTAGATGAGTGAGTAAAGCTGAGCAGAAGCAGCCTGTGACACCTTTGCGGTGTGTAATAAACACACAAATTCTTATCCCAACAGGACTGTAAGGTCCAGCAAACTTTTATTCAGGAATGGTATGGGTTTAGACAGATTGCTTGAGGAGGAGGATGGACTAGGTGACCTCCAGCATCTCTTTCAATCTACTTTTCTGTGATTTTCTGTGATCCCCTAAAAAGATTCTCCAAAGGGCTTTAAACTTGCATAGGCTAAAAAGATAATTATTTTTAATGAGAACCATGCTTTTAGTCTCATGGTGCAGCTTCAAGGGTGGTGCATAATGCTAAGCACATTATTCAGGCCCTGTGGAGCTTTCCCAAGATAAAAAATGCTGCAACCATTCCCTACCTAAGTTTGCTCTGAATAGCAATACTGAGCCACTAATGACACTGACAGCTTTTTCACCCTTTTCTCCTCTATTAAAACAAACAAAGAGTTATGGCTTCCTTCTTTCTATTAGTGCTTTAGTGTTTCTTGATATTGTGGATTTTTTAATGTATCTTCATTGTACCTAGAAAACTCCCTAATGTTTCCTCACATTTGCACAGGTAGGGAGTTTGACCTTTCATAGGGATTTTGCCTTAATTAAAATCTTTTGAAAAGTGAAGTTTGCTTCTTTTAAAAGTAATTGGATTAATGCAAACTTTTTCAGTGCCTACTTCAAACCAGTATAAATGGTCTGACATTAAATGAGGTTAAAAAGTCCCCAATAAACTACCACTACTGTTATTAAATTTAATTAAGATAGAGCAGCAGGCAGTTTAAATGGGAAAGTGTAGCATGAAAATGGCAGCACAGAAAAAGTATTCTGATGTTGTCATTAAAGCTAATTGGAAGCAAGAATTTCTAAACGACAGTATAATTAACAGGCTAATGAATACCAGATTAAGATTGTTATTAACAATGAAATTTGCAAACATTCATGGAAAACTATTTAAGAATATCACACATTAGACATATTACAAGGTAAAAGTCTGCAAATTATACAGCACTTCATCAGACGATGGTACGGAGCTCCAGCCATGTAGCAGCAATTAAACCTTTTGCCCTCTCACCCTCCTCTTCTCCAAATTAAGTTAAAATTAGCACAGAGTAGCTATAAAATGTGTGTTTTGAGAAATGATGCCATACTAAAGCTGTGCATAGAGCTCGTGGAAGTAGCATTGTTTGATCAAAGCTGGGAGAAGGCCAATGGTTACTGCAGCCTACGGCCTGAGGCTAAAAACAAGGCATTGCTGGGATCTGCTGCTGCACAAATACGCACTTCCCACACACTGAGGAGCAAGGGCTCTGCTAGATAAGGCTAATGTGGTTCTATGCATAAATGAAATTGTTTTCACCTTTAATAGGAGCATTTGGGCCGCTCCCTTTCCATGCGCCGCTGCTGCACAGCAGAGGGAGCAGTGCTGGTCAGATGGAGGAGACTGTCCTTGGTGTGCCACGTTGTCACCATTTCAGTGCTGGCAGTGAAACCCCAAGGACAGGGCAGGAATGATGAGGGCTCCTGGTGAGGAGAGCACTACGATAAACAATAAATGGCAGAAGAGCCTGATGGTGGTTTAAGATTTCTTGTCCAAAGATCTTGGCTGTGCTCGCAGCGCTGTAAGGATCCTGGTGTTCCTCCTGGATTGAGATACTCTCACAAGAAGATGTTATAGCTGAAGAAGTATTAGATATAGCAAGCTCTTCTCACTGGGAATGGTTTAGGTTTCATTCTGTTGCTGAAGAATGTGTCACAATTTCTTTGCCCATTAAAACCACATTTGCAAGTTTGGATCTTGCTTGTCCTGAGTCTAATTCTTTACAACTGCTATTATTACTTTTAGTCAGGAGCTCAGGCTCTAGAAGGCAGCGTTTTGATTTTATAGGCCTTTCAATAATGCAAAGAGCATTGATGAGTAAGGGAGTAATTAAGCAGGCTTGTGACAGATCTTTGCCTCTGGTTAGTTTCTGCAATGCTGTTATTCGTATATGCATTTTACAAGATGTTCATAGCAGGATAGGTTTGTCTTCTGTGAAATTTGTTTATGTGAAGGGCAGAGCAAAAAGAGCTATCTGACAGACAAATATAACCTTAAATGGCCCAGCATGTTCAAGTAAGTGAATGTTATTTTCCCAGAGGCTGCAAAAGGGCAAACATAAGGGCCTGAAAAAAAATACAAGAGTAAGCCACAGGACAACCAAAATTCCTGAATTTGGGTTATAGTGGCACATATGCCAAAACTGCAGGAGTTTTTAAGAAATCTAAGAGGGAAAAAGTGATGAATAAAAACTTAAAAGCAGAATTTTACAGAAAGAATTTACTTAACTAGCAACTGCAAGATGAGAAAATATTCTACAAGGAAAACATGAGAGTAAAAAATGTGCCTCTGTGATGAGAAGCACATTACTGCAATTGTACCAGATTGATTTTCTTGCAAACTTCTGTTAATAAGCATTTTCACAGGCCAGGAAGGTTCAAACTTTGTCATGAAAAAGAATTTTGAGCGCTCAAATCTGAAGATTCAGGCTCCTAAGCTAGAATCTAACACAGCAGCATAAACAAGAAACTATTGAATACACACATGAAACATTACACAACCTCCTTTGCCACTACATAAGAATATCTTGATAAACACATATTTCATCCTTAATTGGGGCATGCAAACAAAATAAAGTGCATTGAACAAATCTCAAAACTATTTTGTGGATAGCTAAAAACATCTGGAGGAGACAACATATGAACAAGCACAATGATAATTTGTAGGAAGAGATGATCTAAGTAAACTGAAGGTTGACCTCATATCCCTTGACTCAAAAATTAAAATTCCTTGGAAGCCAAGATTCTTTTCTTCACAGTAACCATTGGGAACCAAAGAAAATTTTTCATCAACTCCTCTTTTGCCAAGATTAAAATAATTAACCTCCTTTAAAAACAACTCTTTAGGTAATCCTTGCTTCACAGTACTTGACAGAGCCAGTAAGCTCCAGGCCATACTCAGTTATTTGGACAGAATGAAACTTTTAAAACATCAGTAAAATTGATCATATTGAACCCTGCAAAGGGACTGCATCTTGCAAGGTAAGAGGTGGATTATATCAGCAGTTACCAAAATGACACAGTATCAAAAGATGAAAATCTTTGGCTGGCATAGACATTTTTACCTGTAATCCTTTGGAAGGGAAAGGTATACCTTTATTTTTAGGTTTATTTTTAGCTGCTTTATTCCCAAATGAAGGCAACACAATAGAAATGTTAAAACTGTTCCCTTATACTTATTCCTATATACTATACTGTTCCTATATCACTCTCTTTGCTCTGCCCAAGTTCTTCTAAATTGTTCTGTGAGGAGAAGCTCTTACATGGATTAACATGAAAGTTATTATGATATGTTCACACTTACATAACACACTTTTTGGTTGTTGATGGAAGTATTATAAAAAACTACATTCATGCTACTGTGAAAGATGGCCTTAGAGAATCCTCATGAATTCATTCTAGAATTAATATTCATTCTAGAATATTCATTCAGGGTATGGATGTAAGTGAGCAAGCAGTGAATTCTTCAGCTATGTACTTTTTTGGTTTAGTATTCATTAATACTCCCCACCTGACAGTGGTTTCATTTGCAGGTGTGCAAATGTTTTGTTTTTGTCCATTTGCTTATAAATTTCTCCTGGTTTAGAAAATTCTGTCAAATTTAGCATAGCAAAATTATCTCATCAAAAAGAAAAAAAAAATGGAAAACAATTTTCTTTCAGATTTAAACAGCGGAAAATATGAGACACCTTGGGATCCAAGTCCAAGTACTTACATGGAATTACACATATACTTGGTATTATTTACTCACTCTTTGAGCTGGAGTGAGCTGAATAAGCAGGTATTTAAGACCACATTTGTCTGAAAATAAGTGCTCTTATCACAAGGCAGTTAGTAAATGGATATGTTCCTTTGGTTTAAATATTTATCCAAGCTGATGTTTTTCCTGCAATGCTGGTGCTTTTCATAATCTGTCATTGGCTGTGGAAAGTCTGTATTTTTATTTTCTCTCGCTTGTACGACGGCAGTTGAAGACACAGAAGTCTTATTTATGTTTGTAAATAGATTTTTGGCATCTTTCTGCAACAGAGTGTGCCAGCACAGTGAACTGACTGGCATTGTTTTATAAGCAGTGTTGCTGAAAAAAACCCCATTATCTCACCGAGAAACAAGAAGGAAATGCCCAGCTCCAGAAACTCATCTCTTCCAAGGTCCATGCTCAGACAGCAATCAGGCAGCTGCCTTTGGTGCATTGCACTCGCTCCCTGCCTTCTAAATTGCAGGAATGTGTATTGCACTCGCTCCCTGCCTTCTAAATTGCAGGAATGTGTATTTCCCCGCGGTCCTTTCTGCCTGGCTTTGTTCGGGGTTTTCCCCTCCAGGTTTGAAAGCCGCCAGGAAGCGGCAGCAGGAAATCCCTGCGGTCTGCTCTGTGTCGTGAGAACGACTTCCACCTTATTAGGCACAAAACTATTTATGTCACAACTGAAAGTAAAACAGAACGGAGCAGGGGGTGGAGCATTTGCTGGTGTCACTGGTGCCAACCTTGTCCTGGCCTCTGTGCCGTGTCGGCTTGCTGCTCTGCACCCCGAGACCTGTGAGTATTTCACAACTTCTGACATCCTCCTGCTTTCTTCTGTCTTCGTTCGAAAAAGGACGAGGCTTAGAGCTTAGCTTCTTATGAAATACATAGTTTAAATGCTGTATTTAGCCTTGCACTTGGCACCTGTTTCTCCGTTTCTGCCGCATTAGAGAAATCAGCAATTAGAGGAGACTGGTGCTAGCTCGTGAAAACTTGTCATTGTTTGCTAACAAATTCACTCGGCAAAAACGAGGGGAAAACAAAGCTACTGCTCTGAGCCTTTCCTGGTTAATATAGCAAGGACAGAGGCAAAAATCTGGGAGAAAAGTTATTTACTTCTTAGTGTATGTGGTTAAAAGAGCATTAAATGCAGGCAGAGAACAGAAAATTTGCAGGCAGAGAACAGAAAATTTGCAGGCAGTGGAATCTTGCTGAAAACAGTAACAGGGTTTCTCTAGATGACAGGAGTGTTATGGAGAGATTCCACTCAGTAGTACACAAGAGTAAACATACGCACTGGTGAGTCTTGTTAAAAATAACACTTTCTACCTAGCCATAGAATCATAGACTCAGTTTGGAAAAAAGGGAAAGATGTGGGGAACAGAAACTTGTCACAGATTGTAAAGTCACAACCTGCAAAATTATATCTGTGCGAGTCTAATAGGAAATTCTCCTTCCCGTGCACAATCGCTACCTTGCAATTCCTTCTGCCTAAAGAAGACACTTTTAGGCAGCTTACATTTAAGAGAGTCTTACACAGTGGAAAAAACTCCTGGTGATAATTATCACAGCATGTTTGGCTATACTTTCCAAGTGGTACATAGTACATAGTGAAGTGCTTCCTTTGTCTCTCAGGATGTTTAGTTCTATTTACAGTTACAAATTAATTTAGCACGTACTAGTTAAATGGAAACATACCATTTAGTTATTTTGTCTTGGAAAAAGATAATTATAGATTAACACAGTCTAAACAAACAATATCTATAGCTCAATAGAGGTGTTAAATTTGGGAGTCTACTGGGCTGTTTGAAGCTTAGAGTATGACTTCATATCTGTGCCCTGCACCAGGTGCTGCATTGGCTAATTAAGAGTTATGGCACTTGTACCAGAGGGGCCTGCATGTATTCTGGTGAGTGACAAAACTGCTGTTTTCTTGTAAGAAAGAAGCCCCGACCTGCCCTTCCAGAGCTAAGGAATTCTCTATGGGAATCAATGTGCCTGACTTCTGAGAGCTGCAGCTGGAAGCGTTCAGTGAGCTTGCGAGAGGAAAAGCCATCAACACGAGCACACTCATGTGGAGAGCTGTTGAGCACTTATTGCTCAAAAATAATGAATTGTCTCTGTTAGTGTAAGCCACACAGCCACCCTGCCTCAGGCTGAATGTCAAGCGAACCTCAGGCTGAATGCCATGAAAATAACAAAGACAGAAGAGGCATGGCAGCTGGAGCAAGGGTGTGTGGTGTGCTTGTGAGAACACAGGAACGTGAGTCACAGTGGCTCTCAAAGGCTCAAGTGCTGCAGCCTTTGCCGGAAAAGAAATGACAACAGTTCCTTTTCCTGATGGTGTGCTTAGGCAATGGTGTAGCTCCCGGAGGTTTTCTTTGTGCTGTAAGGGTAAATAGGTCAATTGCGGCTTCAATTGCTGCTTCACATTCCTGAGGTTTGATTATGCTGGTGCTATGATTGGTTATACTCAGGGCTGTCAGTGCAGTGGGGAGGCTGGGCAGCACAGGGGGGTGACAGCAGGGTGACAGCTCGCCTGGGCTTGCACTGGGGATCCCAAGGGTAAACCTGACCTGCAGTGACCCACACTGGGTGCTGGTGATGGCCAAAGCCATCAGACTGGGGTCCACACATGCTGCCTCACTGCTTACAGCTTTCTCTCGCTCATTTTATTTCATTTTCAATCATTTTTATTGAATAAAAAATGTCTACAGCCTAAGCTACACTATCTTAGAGTAATTACTTACATGGGTGCACGAAAAATCGGATTTTACACTGTCTAGAGTATGTACTTATATATATATATATATATAAAAAATATATATTTATATGTATATTTATTTGGTTTGGTTTGGGTTTTTCCAGGGGCTTGGTCCGCTCTGTGAAAACAATCCATTTGGTTCACAAATGGTGTGTGAGAAAAAGGAAATCGTTACATCATACTCTGATTAAAGATTTAATACCTTTTCATGATTATGAATTCATGGGAAGGCAGTGAGCATGGGATTGAGTTTTGAGTAGACTATGCTTTAGTGATCATAAACCCTTCTACTTCTGCTGCCCTCAAACTTTCTCCTTCCTTTCACTCCCACCATGTCTTTACTCCTTGCTGTGCTCTCCATCCAGTCGTACAACTCAAATTCCACCTCTGTGCACCAGCAGCATCCCTGCTGTCTGCACCTAAGCCTTCAGAATACATACAGGGGACTTGCAGAAGTTACTCACAAAATTTAAGAGGCTTCCTGCTTTGAATCATCTTAATGCACAGGCTGAAAGCCACTCAGAAATCCATTGTGGCTTTATACTTATGGTTTTTTTCCCCCATGTAGGCCCCAAAATGTAGTTTTCTGACCCAGATGCTGTGCTTCTCTTCTGAGTAATGGTCCAGCAGGCAGAATGCTGGGGATGGCACAAAACTCTGCTGGAGCACTGAGCAGGCTGCAGAGCCAGGTAAGCACCTCTTAAACAACATGACATTCTTCTGAAAGTTCAGCAAAGCTTGTAATGGTATTTTGCAACCCAACGTGAAAAGTAGGTAATAAAGAAAATTTAAGGCTTGTAAACATCTCTGGTATTTTAGATTACATCCTTACACTTATTAACATTATTCTCATCTCAGTTCCAAAACACAGCATTGTACCAGGTACTTGGAAGAAAATCAACTCTATTCCAGTCACAAGTGCATTAAGACAGAAACTTAAGTCCAAAACGCCACAGCATTTTCCTTTTTCCTTCTTTCTTTCATTTTTTGGCAAAACCCCCACTCATCTCCTGCCCTCATGTAGCTGAAAATATCTCTCAGATTCATAGGATTTTATGGTTGCTGTAGATTATTTTGCATAATTTAAACGACACATGAATATTTCAAGTCTCATTTTAAACTGTGTGCAGTTTCAGGACACACAGGTCACAGTGAGGACAAAGTAGTTTTCTAGCAGTTTTTCTCAAGCTAAAGATGAGCAACTTGAAATAGTGCAAATTTATGTACTGTGCACTGGTGACAATTTTAAAAAAGAAAATAATTTGACTGAAACTATGAGCAAGATCCAGTGTTGAGAGTGAACTCAAGCTCTATATTGCACTCAGTAAAAGTGACTTTTAAGCAGCAATGTGGTTCAGTAGGGGCTACAAGTAATTCTCTGCCCTCTTTAGGACTGAGGGGTTTTGCCAGCACCTTTCCTGAGAGTTCAGTGCCCAAACCATATCCAAAGTATGGAGCATCCAAAACCTGTGACAGAATATTTTATCTCAAAGCAGCCTATGACACCTGTTTTGTCCAGACTTAAATATCAGAAAACAAAATAGCCTTCATTTAATTAATGAAAACTAATTTTCATTTCTGTTTATACTTTAATTATTTTCTAAAGGATCGTTTTCTCTAATTCATATAACCAGCTAAAACTTTTGCAAATGGAAAAAATCTTTATTTAAACATCAAAAACTAAGAGAGAAGAGATTTGTTTTCTCTCAGTTGGATTGCTCAGTTTTGAAATGATGAAAATGTTCTCACAGTGCCTGGTGAACCGAAAGAAAAACAAAGAGCTCAAACCCACACGAAACAGGTCAACACTCTGATGCAAAACCATGGCTACCTGTCTGTGCAGCACCAGATAAAGATCAATAATGTCCTTCAGGCTCTGCAAACAAAAGGTAGAAAACCCAGTGGAACAAAAGCAGCGACTTGGAGGCTTAATGTCCAAGGGTAAAACAAATGATAGCATTAAATGGAGGCCAATCAATTGCAAGAAAATCTTTCTGAGACAGCCTACAGTAGTGACGCGAATGCAGAATAGAAAAACCAAAAACCCAATTAGGAAGGTTTTGTTTCCTGGGTCTGAAATGCTGCTGGACCTGTTCTGGCCAAAGCTTGGGAAACCTCAAGGTGTGTGTTCTGAGGAGTAGTCTAGCCAATAGTTCAGAAATTCAACTGCTGCAGAGTAGGAGCAGAAATGAGTGAGCTTGGAGGCTTAGAAATGTGCAAGTTCCTCTTCAGCATGCTCATTTCAGCCATACTCTGCTATGCTCATCAGCCCGTTTCAGTGGCCTGTGGGCACAAGGAACATTGGAGAAAGCTTGTGATCTCTTGAGCCTTCACATAATTTTTTTTTTTTTTTTGCATTGTTTGTATTGGCAACAGCTCTGGTTCTTGTTTGGGAGTGGGTGTAATCTATCAAAGTAGCTAAAATGTGCTGACATGTTCACTCTGACCTCAGACAGATGTAACACTACCACATTTTCTTCTGATTTTGTTCCTCTTCTGGAAATAGGCAACCCATGCTATCACTGAAGTTTCTTAAAAACCCCAAAGATTAATGCTTACATGTACAGAGTCAGCTGGCTCCTTGTTTAGAATGAAATAAGATTGATTTCTAGCTTTACCATTCAAAAATTATGAAAAAACATGCTAGAATGTTTCAAACTGCATCATGCCTCTAATCCAGGATCCAGCAAATTCCAGTAGAAGTATCACTGTAGGAGAGGGCCATAGATTATAATTCTTTTTAAAAAGCTCTGGAACTTGCCTAACTTCACAACTTTGAGAACTGCTTTTGCTATTTTTAGTCTTTTATCTATTACAAGTGTGTTACAGATCTCTATCAGTGTATGGTCTTGCAGTCTTTAAGCTGAGTATTTTGATAAGGCTGAGATATTACCTGTCCAGCAGCTGTTCCTGTAACAACTGTTTTTATGGCCTCAGAGGTTTCAGTTTTATGCATCAATATGACATAATTTATAATTTTTTTGCTGTTCAAGTTTCCATGTTTAATACTGTTCCAGTTGTTAATATCCTACCCTAAAGGCACAGAAATTTAATCCGTAATTGTGTTCTCATTCCCTGTTGGGTATTTGTTGCTATGATAAAAATATCACAAATAATATGTACAAGGAGTGCCTAACAGCAAATGTATAGATCAGGACACATTTTGCTAAACAAACTTTAGTTTTGGCTCCATTTTATGTGTTTTATTAATGCCCTTTACATTTTGAATATCTTTTTATTCTCACTGTTTATTTATCTGTGAGAACTTATTCTGAAAGGCCTTTTAACTAGTTATTGCATATTGCCTCCTGAAGGGTGTCATTTGGGGATAAATGGTCAAATCTCACCAGCTGTGCCTTACAAATGAGTTTTTTGCTCTGTGCTTTTTCTTTGCTGTGTATTTGAGCTAAATTATTTTTGCCACTAGCAAAATTCAGGGAGTCTCTGTGTCAATTGTGTTTGGCAAGCTAACCTAGCAGATACAATTAATATTATACGTCCTTGCATCAAGAAAACATTCAGCTGGTCTTTCACAATTTGAGGAGGGGTTGATACCTTGAAAAGACTGACATTGCATGGAAGGATGAAAAGAGAAAGAAGCATGAATTACCTTTCTTTCCTGGCTGGATTTTGCCACCTGGCAAATACGAGGTCTGTAGCCAAGTACAGGGCACATCTCCACAAGGAAACAGTCTGAGCTCTGGGCCTCAAGCACAATCTGCAAAAGAAAGTAAAGGTCAAGAGAAAATATTTAACTTGCTACATTTCATGTTCTGATGTTTAATGTATTGAGTGGAACAGCAACGACTCTGTGACCTTTCAGCAAAATTTTCAAGCAGGCATTACAAACTTTACTCTCTGGCATAAATACCAATTATCAGGAATAGAAGGAGAAAGGGCTGCCAAAGCAAATCAACAAGTAGCAAACAAAGAACATATAAATACAGAATGTGATATAAACTGAGAGAGGCTCCTGCCAGGCTGATTACTGAGAAAACTCCCTTGAAGGCTAGCACTTCCCTGATACAGGCAGAATAAGCCATGTAGGACAGTGCCATTCTGACACTAATTCAAACTCAGGGCTTTTTTTCTTTGTTTCCCTTCGATTGTTTCCTACAAGAAGCCTAAAGTGACTCAGGGATGAAAGAGCAGAGAGATTCTTCAGTGAATCTGCTTCTTTGGCTTTCAGCATTTACCCCATGACAAGGCAGCTAGAATATGTTTTCTCTCTAAATCTTACTCATAATCCATGAAAATTTGATCTCAAAATTACTTATTTAAGGGCTCAGTATATGGAAACATCTATCTAGTTCAGAAGTGCTGCTTCATTTATGGGCTCCATTCCTCTTAAAGCCACTTCCACTAGTTTATGAAACCTTTACTCTCCATGGCTCCACCCCTGGAAAAAAAAAGTCACAGAAGAAGAATTGCTGCAACAATGCAGATGAGTGGGTGTAAAATTTTACAAGATGTAAACAGTACTTGGATGCAGATCTAAAAAGATCCCTCCTTTATACATGAGACATTTCTTAATAAAATGCCAAAGGACTGGCGGGAGCTGGAGGTGGTGGTAAGATTTCAGAGGAAAATTTGCTGCAGTAACAGAGAAAAAAAGATTTAAAATGCTTTGCTGCACAGGAAGCCAGAGAAAAAATGCTGAGGACACATATTTTTAGAACAGGGGAGAAGAAGAGACCAACTAAAATAATAATAATGAATAATGTGCAAGAAGTCTATTGTACTACGGAGTGAAATGAGAAAATAGATTGTTATGAGAGAGAGGTGTTTGAGAAGGCTGATTTGCTCATGGGAACAAGGAAAGGGGGCTGATCAAGGAAAAAAGTGTATGCTACAAGTCAAAAAGTTGAGAGAAAATTCGAGAATAATCAACAATGAAGAAGTTCCCCTTTTCCCACAAAAACTGAAAACAGTGTCACCGGTTTCCAAATCCCTCATTAGATCTGAGTGCGCTGTATGCTTCTGGCCATTTGTCTTCAGGAACAAGGAAGCAGATGAGGAATAAAGATATAAATAAAGAATAATAATACAGTTCAAAATAAGGAGAAAAAAGAACCAAATGGCATAGCCTGGAAAGAAATGTTCATATTTATGAATATCTTACCTCAAGGATTCAAGGAGACATTTATAAGCAAATATTAATAAAAAAGTTTAGATATATGGTATTTAGGCAGAAGCATGTAATTTTAACTGTCTGTATTTTCCATCGCATGTAAGTTAAATACTGTAAAAAACCACAAATATTTTCTCTTGAGCAACTTAGATTATTGTTTCTGTGACAGCCAAATCAGCAAAGTCATTGGCTGTATCTGCTTCATTAAAGAAAGGTTTTTTCATTTGCTTACAGATTTGCTTCTTTAAAGAGAAAACAATACTAGCGTACCTTAGATATCACTCAGAGGCAACTGCACTTAAAATGCTTAATTTAAATTCATTATTAAAAAACAGCATTCCTTTCCCAAACATTGTGTATTCTACCAACTGTCTGGTAAAGTGATTTTGTATTTCTCCAAGCTACAAATCAGCTGGCCCTTCCAGCTACACACAACAGGGTTTTGTCTTTGTTGGAAGTCTTGGAAAATTGGTTAATTAAGTCAGTACTAAAGCAAAATTCTGTGGAATCAAATGGTGACAAGGCATCACTTTGGTTGTGTCTTCCAGAAAACACACCTGAAAAGTATTTGTCTGCAGTATCTGCTTCTGAACAGCCACTGCTTTTGCCTTTTAAAGAATGGAATGGGACTAATCATCTTCTTCCTATGGTAAACACAGAGCTAACGTCAATCAGACACTAGCTACAAATTATTTATTTTCACTATCAGAGCTGTTACTTGTCTCTAGTCACTTCAGAGACTGGATTTGGAATTTTATTTTTACACTTTAAAAGAATTTTAGGTATTTTACATCAGGTAATTGAACCTCTCTCTTGCATTATGTTCTATAAATGTGGCCTTCTGAAAAACCCACATTGTTTATACTGTGTGTGACATGAGATTCTGTTTTTATGTATCTGTGTGATTTTATGATTTTTCAAATCTGCCTGCTTGCCCCAAGCATTTACCATATGAATTTACACGTAAACACTGTATCTCTAATATCTTACCATGCTGAGTCCTTTTTTTCATGGTAAAGGTTGTAGATCCCTCCTGTTTATCCTGATGGTCACTGTGCTCCTTCTGTTCCAGTGCTTATGTTCCAAAGACAGAAGCAGGACGCTGCAAGTGGGAAGAAGTTCTGCAGGATTTGCAAGCCATCAAGACATCCAGAGTAAGTCCATGAAACAGTCAGCTTTTCTTGCAATCCTAGAAGAAGCCTTAAGAAAACATTTAGCACTGCACTCAGCTAGGAAGCGCTAGTGAGAGGGAGAGGGATGGTGTTTGTTAGCTAATGTTGGTAATTACAACTCTTATTTCCTTGCAGGACATTGATGTCAGTTTATACACTGCCAACGCAGATGAGGATGTAAGTAAACTTCACACATGACCACAACTGATGTTTAATGTGGTGCCTTCATGGCCTTATCTGAACTATCCCCTAAAGCAGACTTGTTCTAATTTGATAAATGCGCCTAAAATCAAATAATTTGCCTTGGAATTAATAGCACTTCTAATCTATGTGCTTATGATAAACTATGCAAGCAGGTATTAATTATCCTTATTTAGTCATCTGCTACTAAAGTTAATCAATTGAAAGGGATGGTTGAGGCCATATTGGGTATCCTGGCCCACAGAGAGGAGGCTCTGTGCATAGCAGCGAGGTTGGAAGTACAGGATATTTAAGGTCCCTCCCAACCCAAACTACTCTGTGATTGTGTGGTTCAAAGTCATTTTATCAAGGCAAACAATGCTAAAATAATTCTGGGATTCATTTTTTAATTAAGGGAACATTACCTGCTTCCTCTGCTCTCTTACCCATTCTGAATTCAGGTCTCCGAGTTAAAGTGTTAAGACTACTAAGCATAATAATAAATTAATTCCACTATGGTTAGTTATATGCCAGGTTCCTATCCTCATTAATTATTTTCCTGTGTTCTTCATGTTTCACCCCATCTCAGCAAAGTGTTTGCTCTTGTTGTTCTTAGCTCTCACAGTCCATCTCTGCAGATATTCAAATGTACTTGAATAGTAAGAAAAGATGCCCAGTAAGTAAAAATCAGTCTCTTTGTGGCTGATTTTATCTTAGATTACATCTCACTTATATAATACTTGTGGTTTAAATTAGATAATAAATTGTGACCTACATTTGCTTATTCCTTTTTAATCATAAACTATTGCAACTGCATGTTTTTTTCAGGAAGAATGCCAGGAACTTGTAATGAGGTGCTTTTTCTTAGAGACAGAAGTGATATTTCAAGAATATCGTATCAAAAATTGCAGTAAAACACAGGATGTGTGGAACATTTGGAAAAATGGGAATGACAGCTTCGAAAAAAATAAGGTAAGCAGCACCAATTGTGTGTGGAAAAAAAGCAAATCAAAATGCTTATGTAACTAAAGAGGTATTTCTGCTATCCAATAAACTGTGGGATGAAAACTAATGAGAAAAACTAATGCCTTTTTTCTTCTTTTTTTCAGTTGGCTTCCACAAAATCAGAAAAATGCAAAGAATGTGAAGAATATGAAGAAAAAAATTTTACAGAATTTGTACAAAACTTTGAAAAGGTTATACAAAGGGATTGCAAACACTGGTCAGAAAGACATAAGCTGGTAAAAAATATTCTTACATGAACACCCTCAGAGAAATTAGATTATCACCAAAAATAAACCAGAAAAAAAAATTATAATCCTCTTGGCTATCTCTTAATATATCTGTTTCTATTGTGGTTTTCAGGTAAGCTCAATTACTTCTTCCGTCCAAGAACTCAAAGTCAAAACTAAAATATTTATGTGAAGACTCTTCTTTGCCCTTTTGTACAATGCTAGCATAAGGGCATTAAAAATTATCTCCAGTTTTCTCACTGGAAGAAATATCACAAAAAAGAAATAAATTATTTGCCTCCATAAAACATCAAAACCAGAAGTGTTTATTACATAGTTCGCATGAAACAAAATGGGTCCTAAATTTTACATTTTTCCTTAATTCAGTGGCGTGCACTGAATATGATTTTTCCTTACCTGATGTCATGTGCACAGGAAAGGTAACACCAAGTTACAACTCTGGACTTCAGTCAAAGAGATAAAGGGACTTTCCTTATTTCTGGCTTTGAGAGGGAAGCATTACACTGATGATGGGGGAACCAAAGAACTGCTTTGCTCAGAATTTTCTTCATCTTCACTACTTTGAAAATCAATTTCCTGATTTAATATTGTTTTCCATTAACTCATTTACCCGTGGCAAGTATGATAAATACTGTGAATTTGTCTTTCCAAAGAAAATTGCTAAATCTGTGACCACTCAGCTTGTCACTCTGTCAGCCACTGGCCATATCCCTTTTATTTCATTTGACTTCCAGCTGGCCCAGGTGCATCTTCTGGGATTAAGAGAGGCCTTTTGCTAATCTGGATCTCCAGCATTTCTGTTAGGGTTTACTTTTTCCTGAGAGCTAAGCAGCCATCTGAAAGCTTTACTACATCCTGAATCCAATTGTTACAATAAATGATCTGGCTGTTATAAATGATGGACTAAATTAATGCCAACTTGTTGTTTGTGGTTTTTGGTTTTGTGTGGGTTTTTGGCTCTTTTTTTTTTTTTTTTTTTTAAGTTAGGAAATTCCTATGTGTTCCAGAGGAAAAGTTTCAATATGAGTAAAACACAGACAAATCTGATCTGACCTGTTAGTCCTGCAGGCAGAACAATGGCTACTTGTGAAGCAAACATCCCCAAGGTGAAGAAGCTGTTTCTTCTACGCAGGCTTGAGTTATTTGCGTGGCATTAACTAGCTAATATTTTCTAACTGCTGTTGGCAGACATTAAGGAAAAGATTAATACTGTGTTTTCTCCAATGAATCCTTGTCAGTTAGGGGATTAAGGCGACTCATAGCAGTGTTTCTGGGTACAGAAGGAACAATAACTACCTTTTGACACCAGAAGAGAAGAAAAATGCTCTTCCATCAAAGTTCTGCACTACATGGTTCTGTTTTCCTGATTTGCAATAATTTAAAATCTGCTTTTCCTTCCCATTCCTTGTAGTTAGTATCCACATTTCTTGCCTGTGTACTAACAGGATAATGCAAGATGATGTCTGACATCCTCTTCCTTCTTGCTGTTTTACTGGACCCTGAAGATAAATATGAGTTGTTTATCCATAGAATATTGCCTCTAGTGGCTCCCAAATGTTTGAGCACCTGTTGATCAGGTACTGTTCAGATGATTTCACGGACATTTTAGACTCTGAACTGCAGATACCTTTCTTGTTAGGACCTTCAGTGTTTTGAGGAAAATAAAAAAGAGGGAATTCTTTGCCAGCCGTGAGATAGCTGGGGGATCAACAGCAATTGCAGATTATTCATCTTGTCCGTATGACTACGTGAGCAAAAACATAGTATAGAAACATTTCATTCCAGCTCCATGGGGAAAAAGCTCAGACAATGATTATTTGAGTCAGCCAGCCCAACATTGAGAGGAATGGAGGGAAACCAGCATATTGGATACATCTATATATATAGAAAGAGAGATTTCAGCAGGTGTACTCCATGGATAAAGCAGGAATTTCTGCACAGCATCAGGAGACTGATCAAGACAACACTTAAAGGGACATTCGGTAAAGTCTAAAGGGTTGTATCTTCTCTAAAGGCAGAGAAGAAACAAACTTTGCTCATATGAATTCGATGGAATTTTAGTCTCACGCACCTAGGCAGGAAAAGATGAACAAGTTAGCATTATTTCAACAAAAAACTCAATTCAGCACCTTGAAACTGTCTCCTTTCAACTATTTTCCCTCAACGCTGGAGAATTCACCTATTCTTATGAACAGACTTAATTAAGCCAATAATTAATAACTTAAAGACAAAAGGAAATAAATATTTTTCATAACCTCACCCTCTTCTACATGCTTATTTAATGTGGTATTTTCTTGACCAAGTCAAGCCAACCAGGAATCAAATGGCTTTATAAAAATGGGGGGAAAGATGAGGCAGTACAATAAAGAGTGAGAAATCTGTTGAGATAACCAACCTATCTGTGCCATGAGATAAGCAGCTCACTGCCTCTAAAAGCTAAAAAACGTATAGGGGAAAAAGGAATGAAGTTGGAACATAAAAAGAAATCAGGGAAAGGTTTTCTGGGAATTTTCTTGAGAAATACCAAGAGCTAAAAAAGCTTATTTTAACTTCAACATACAAATTAGTATCCTATACTGGTTTTCTTCCTTCTGAGTCCTCAACCATACAAATTTGTACCCTTTTTTTCTTTTCCTAGTGCGACTCAATACTCCTCGGGGCTTTCCACTTCACTACATACAAAACTGCTTCTGATGAACTGCTTTTACAAGTTTTACTAATGGAAAACAAAGAAATGCAACTAAAACTTCTATGTCAAGATACTGTCTTGAAATCAAATTATAAAATACATTGACAGTGCTGCTGAAACAACCTTCATTAGACTCCAACACAGTATTTTGTTGTGAGGTGAAGGGAAGCCATCAGGTGTGGCTTTGTTTATTTAATGCCTTTCAGGGGGATGCAGCTGTATTCAGCTTTGCAAGATGAAAAATTGAAAGTAGTAATCCTTACAGAACCTTATGGCTGCTCTACCACACATGAGAGACCCTGAGAAACTGACAAAAGGGAATTTAAGAGAAATTTAAAATATACTTATGTCATTGGAATTCAACACAAACAACAATAACATTAATTGAAACAGTGTAGCTGGGCCACAGATAAAACTAAGAAAATGTTACGTAAAGAAGTTGTCTTTCCCTGCTCTTCTAAAAGTCACATATATCCTGCAGTTAAAAATGTATTAAAAGAAATCTTTCTGGAAATGTATAGTCTTGCAGTAATGCAGGACATGTTAGCATGAAAGAAAGTTAAAACATATGTCAAACACCACCAGGATAACTCACAAGCTGCAAACACCTTATGTCAATCTAGGAATAGCATCTAGAGCCCATGTACACCCCACATTACAAATTTCAACTCCCCAGGCCTGTCCCATTGCAGCAGGCCATGCAGCAGGGCAAAACAGCTCTGGCACAAATAAGTGCAGACACCCGTGACACAGAACGTGACAAACAGGGGGACACGAAACACGACACATCATGCTTGTGGTGAGGGCCTTGAGGGGAGAAGGCAAAAGGGACCCCAAAGACACACCAGGGAACACGGCACACCGGACAACAAGACACAGACCAGAGCTGTTCTGCACTGCCCGCCTGAAAGCTGCCATCAAAAGTAGAGCCTCTCCCTTTAGCTGTCCTAACAGGCCCTTGGAGAAGATTGCTTTTCCCTCTGCTAATCTTTAAATCTGCCCCAAGAACTCCCAACCCACTACTGTCCCATCATCCCATCTCCAGGCCGTGGCCCCTGACTTATCTTTTGCATGATCGCTGATGGGAATCCACGTTGCACCTGAAATGAGTCTGCCTCGGAGGGCCTCGTGATGGCCTGTCAGCCTCTCGGTCAGCTACAATGAAGAAAACCAAAACCAAAGTATGAGTCCGGAGTTATGTGGGACAAATCCCACCAAGGCGGCTACTTGCCCTCTCCTGAGTGTGCCGGGCTCCTTCAGCCTCCAGCTTCATCCTGATTCCAAGGCTGTGGCCTTTATTAGGAGTGGCACCTGGGTTAGAGAAAGACAAAGTTAAATGTCATTCCTGTGAGTGCAGTGGATGACCTTGTGTGCTGTAAGACATGTGAAAACCTCTGCTAGGCTTCTGAGAAGCCTTGTGTAGGGGGCCCTCAAATAAACAAATAAACACCCTCTCTCACCCTGCTGCCTGCAAACCTCCCCCTGCCCACAATAACTCCTAACTGGATACCTGCTCACCCTCCCTCTCCCAGTCACAATCCTCAACTCACCTGAAACCTCAATCTCAAACATCATCTGTGACACTGGGCAGATCCCTCTTGTGACATGATGAATTGGCTGAAAAAAGTGTTGTGCTTGAAACAGCTTAGAATTTCAGGGAGTTGCACTCCTCAAATACAACCCCCTCCCCTCAAAAAAAAAAAAACGGAAAGAAAACCCAACAAAAAAAACCCCACCAAAACAATAAACAAAAAAAACCCCCAAAAACCCCCCCAAAAAAACCCAAAAAACCCACAAAAACAACCCCAAAAGAAAAAAACCCCACAAACCTGCAAAACCCCCACAAAAACCAATAAAACCACAAAAACCAAACCTCCAAAAACCAAAAAAAAACCAAAAAACCAATGAAAACCAACCAAAAACCCCAAAAAGAAAACAAAAATACCCCAAAAATTCCATCAAAAAACCCCCAACAATTAAAAAAAAAAAGAAGAGCAAAACCATAAATTACAAAAGCACCTTACCCCTAAACACCAAACCTAAAATCACAAACCTAAATGCTCCCTGTATTCCATGCTGTTTTCTTCACAGAATCTTCAAAGCCTCTGTGCTTTAGATGCCCAGAAACACCTGCTGAAAAGAAGCTGAGACAAACTGAAAAAGCCTCTTCACTGAAATGAGAGGAGAGCTCTTACCCCAGCACATCCCACAGAGGGAATGAAGCCCCTCAGCCACGGCTGGGGTTAATATACCCCTGATGGTGCCCGCCCCTCGTTCCCATGGCACCTGGGAAAAGGCAGGGGGTGAATCCCACCAAGCCCTCAGAGCAGCTGCAGCTGTTTGGCCCCTCTGAGTCAGATTCAAGGGCAGTAAAGGGCTTCTTATAGAAGAAAACTCTTCAGAAAAATTGCAGTACTTTCTTTTTTGCAACAACTACTTGGAGCAGAAGAACAGAAAACTGGCAAGATATGAAACTTTGTGTTTAGGTAGCATAGCTAGATAAATTGGGTAATTGGGTAATTTGCTGTTACCTTACATAATTATTCTGTGTTTAGGAAAAGCCATCTAGTAAGTTCACACTCAAAACTCCAGCAGCCCAGCTGGCCCTACCAAATCTGTATGTTTATACATACAGTAAACAAAACCAAAATCCCAGTAATAGCTATCAGAAGTCTATGAAAGAAACCTATTGAAATCAATCCTACCTCAAATACAAACCAACCCATCCAGAAAGTCAGCTTCACTCAAAAAACAATTTACACAGAGTTAATAACACCAAGAAATAACACACCATATACCACCAATGAATATAACAGTGAAGAAAAAAAAAAACCACTTCTTTTTTTTTTAAAT